CTCACTATTCTGTTGTACTTAAGTGTTGTGTTGCAGTTTTTCTTAACAGGTAATACGTGACATGAAACATTTCTGATTTTATGTTCATAATTTCCATTCTGATGCTTAACTTTAAGAAATTATATTTATGTATCACCTATCTCAGAAAACAATTTAAAAATTAAACTAATATATAAAATAGCAACTACCTGTCTTTCATTTCAATATAAAATATAAATCTTTTGTTCATAAATATTTAAGAATCATCTTCAATCAGAAATGCAAACTATTTATACTTTTTATTTGTGTATAGCATTAAGCATTTTGTGCAAGAGCTCATTTTTTATACTTTCAAAAATTTTCTATAAATCAAAATGTTAAGTCAAAGAAAAACTACCTTGTGAGTTTTAAAGACTCATTATATCTATTCTTCATTCTGATTTTTATAACAAGGAAAAATATAGTTATTTTTATATAAAAACATATCACAGGAAAATACCATTTAAGGCAGGCTGAAGTTTACACTATTTATTGTTATTTTTCTTCAAGTATATATATATTAGAATAAATATTTTTCTAAACACCATAGTAAGTACAATACATGGTTCTGGCATATTTATTTTTTTGAAAAGGTGCTCTGAATCTTAGACAACATAAATACTAGGCAGTGTGGTTGTTGCCATAGTAACAAGTAAATAGGAGCATTAAAATACATGCAATTTTTCAAATGTATACACTTTTTCATAAACATGCACATTTTAGAGGTAAAATATTATCCAACCCTTGCTTTAGCTCCCCTTTTAGACAGAAACACCTACTTCTTTAGAAATAAAAGAGTATCATGAGCAATGGAGCAGGCTTTAAAATTTTAAAATACAATTATGGGAAATATTAAGGTTTTTATGTGAATTTTCCAAAATGAAGAAACAAACCAAAAAAAAAAAAAAACCCTTCTTTTATTCTATGTAACTTTAATGGTCTGTTCTTCCGGTAAGGGTAAAAATGCACATATTTCTTTACCTCCAAAATATGAAATACCCTTTTTCCCCCATAATTTTGTTATTCCCGCGCATTATATGTAGCACTTGGCCATGGAAAGCTGAAAGTCTTGTTCATCATAAAGAAACACAGAAAGTTTAATGCTAACCCAGGAGCTACTAACTGAATATTAAATGATCAAACATCCTTATGTCAATGTGTTAATTGGAATTCAAAGAATTCTTTTATTTCTCCTTTCCCCTTACAGGTACCCTGGAAGACACAGGATATACAATGACAAAGTGTTCTAAATTTTATACTTACAGCTTAAAAAGAGCTTAACATACATTTTACAGGGCTGGAGAAGGGAGCAGTTCTATAAGCTATGATGTGAAGTTTGAAACCTACTGAAAGGTATTTATAAGTCAATCACACAGATTGGGAAAGTTGCTCAACTTTACTGGGAAACAAATTCTTTATATCTGAACACATAAATTTGGACTGCCAATAACAACTATTATGCAACATTCTCCTAGAGTGAGAATTAAAAATTTTAAAAGATCATCATCTAGTTAGGGTGCCAAATATGAGGTGACAAAACAGTCGCTCCAGGACTAGTCTTTTGCTCTCTCCTTGATAAAGAAACCACACATTGTAATGGCTTAAAGATTGACTGAACTTGACACAAAAGGAAAAATAATTAGAACAGACTCATTAGACATATGCATGATCCTATTTACTTTTTTTTTAAGAGAAATTATTCCCCCTGCCATCAGGGAGACAGTAAAGTCCAAAGAAGTCTAAAGAATGAATTAATTAGTAGAACACTTATGACTATCAAAATAGAATAGGTGACACACATGTCATGACTACTACAAAAAGAAAAAGAAGTATCACCTTTTTACTACTCTTCCCTCCTAATTGTTTAACTGTTTCTCTTTGCTTTCACCATCTTAACGTGATGGCAAAATGTACTTGCAGACTGGAAAAGGGAAAACATATCCATCTTTAAAACAAGGGGGAAATGATTTTGGTAATTAGACAGCTTAGTTTAACCTGGGAACATGCAATAACAAATTAAACTATCAATTAGTAACACATAAAATACTAGAAGCACATAAAATACTGGAAAATAACCAACATAACATCTCTGAAAAGCCAACCATGTCAGATGAACTTAGTATCTTTTTTTATAGAATGACAGTCATATTACCAAGTAAGACTGAACAGTGTTATCTATTTCAGGGTTGTAAGTCTCACTCCACTTCCTAATCCAGGGTTGAAAAAAAATTATTTGTAAAGAAAAGATTTAAAAACTAACTTCAATGCTAATCCAATGACTTGATACCTGTCTCTTGAGAATCTGGTTCAGAACTTAGTCAATGTCTTTACTGATGACTAGTCAGGAATCTTAGCCTCCTGTATGTTTTAACTGCATCACATCAGGGCCCTGAGAGCTCTAAAGTTAGGGAAATGACCTGCAGCTTCTATTAAGTGTAGTGGGACAAGAAATAAACTCAATTTAGGTAGAAATTTTGAGACAGCAGCTTTTGTGAATGAATTACAAGGATCTCCTTTAACTAGACAAAGTGTTAAGTATCAAAGCAGTGTTTAAATACAAGTGCTTGTAAAAACACCTGAAACTTGAAGAACATAAGAAATAGTATCATTTGATTAGAAAAGTGATATGATGTAAAGGAGGTAAACTGTGTGGCCATAAGAGAACTCAGTTTCAAGGAAAGACTCAAAGAATTGTTACTGAGGACTAGAAAAACCTCCTTTTATATCTGGTAATACTTACTTATCTTACTGTTTCTTTTACAGAATTACCTGGTTGTAGCCTATGACTAACTTAAGATGTATTTCTAAGTATATTTTTCTCTGTTTGACATAGCTATCCATTATATCTATGTCAGTGAGTATGCTATACCAACAAAATTCACTATCTCATTTTCTAAATTAGGCCTTAAAATTCTAACCTTAAACACATCTATGTACATTGTTCTATGAAATAATTTTTTCCTGTACTGAAATTAAAAAAAAAACTTATTTAAGTTACTGCAAATAAAGATAGAATCTAAAAACATTTGCTAGAGACTAGCATTGTAGATCAGGTTTTACACTACAGAGAATTTTTTAAATTATATATTCTTTCAAATTAATATCTGTCTGTCTTTCTCTAATGCTGCTGCTTCACCTGCAGCACATCAGACAAGGTAATAATTTATGATAATCATATGAAAATATACAATTAATATTCATCACCTCTCATTCCTCATCACTTTAGATGATCAGTAATGCAGAGTGAAAATGCTGTCAGATTTCTAATTGCTTTGTAATGGGCTTGAAACAGGGAAATCATTAAAGGCAAACAATCTGTCATTTGTCTGTTACTTTAACTATCTATCACACAAAAAACTCATTAAAGAAATTGCTAATGAGCTACAAAAGACTATACTCATGGTGTTTCTGTAGTAGATTAAAAAGTAATACTATGAATGCTTAAAATATTTTAAAATATGATATTTTGTGGAAATTCATCAGAAAACATCTATTCTTCAGGATATTTTTTAAGCTGTGTGGTTTCATTATTTTGACATCTAATCCATCATTGCAGAAATCCCTTTAGCATATAAGACTTGTTTTTCATCAGTCTCTAAATAATTAAACTGAAAGGTTGCAAGAAAAAGCTGAAATGCTAAATGTGTTTATTACTAGTAAGCTGACATAACTAATAAATAGTACTATAGTAACCCTCATGCTAAGTGAAGAATATATTTTAAAATTTGATTTTTACACTTATAACTTGTGGATTTGAATTTTGAAATTCCAATGCTTCATTCATCTTGAATATTGCTATCATTATAAAAATTATATTCAACTATTGAAATAGAGCATAATATCATTAAACATAAGAATATTAACTTTTTGAAATTTTTAAAATATTAACCAATACTAAAATGTTTTATAGCATCACTTCAAATAAATTGGGGTAGGAGGCAAACTGACCACAGCAAATTTTACATATTTTTATCAATGTTACATTTCTAGATGTGGCATTAGAAAAAATATGATAATGGCACTAATCAGTATTAAAAAGCAAGAGATATACACATAAACAAATAAGCAATAAAACCCATAAATTTTTTGTTGTTTACACAGTCTGGTTGCATTTTATTTTAGGAAAAAATAGAGTAACAAAGGTGACAATTTTACTAATTTTCATTTTTCTAATGATGAGTAAAATCATGGATTTAATTTTCAATAACAAACCTAAGAATCTTAGCATTAAAGTCAAACCTCTTTTATATGTGTAAACCTATACTGTATCTATTAGAACACACACACATTTAAAATCCAAATGCAATGGCATGTTTAGCCAAGTGTCATGGTTGATATACACCAGTGAATTCCAAACTAACTTCAAAAGGTTCCATAACACCCTGGAAACATCTTCATTATACTCTCTAATTGACTTAAACAGACTTCATATCAACTGTTTAACACATTTTAACCCACAAATTAACACCCCTTGATCATTCAGATTAACCTTTCTCCATGAGTCAACTACATGACAAAAATAAAATAAACTTTTAAAAAGAAATTCAAGCTTAAAGGACTAAAATAGGTAAGGGAGAATGTTTTTTTAAAAAATAGCATATACCTTAGTGTCACCACATGGGTAGAAAAGATTATGATAAGGTTTCAAATTCTAGGGTAACTGGAAAGTGCACTGAAGAGTCAAAGTGGCCAGAACAAAGAGAATGGAGAGAAGAATGAATGATGGAAATAATAAATTGGAATGTATTATGATTACTTAATATTAGAAATAGAAGATTGATTATATACAGTATCTTCAATAGGCTCATGAGATGATTAAAACATTAGATGTGAAGAAGCCAGAAGGCAGGAACAAAAATCCCATATTATTTTATACGACTTTTGAGAGATCCGAAACAAGCTCCAAAGAACACAAACACAACTGAAGTTAAATAAACAAGAAAAACACCAAAACAGGTATGGTGCCAGTGAAAGGTATTTACCTCTTTATCTCTGCTATGTAGCGCACTGTCTCACACCACCTCAATGAAAGTTCACTGATTCTACTATAGCTGTAAAAACAAAAAGAGAGAATAGATCATGTGTAGATGACCAGTAGGTGAAAAATGAAAAAAAAAAAAAATTTCTAAAAGATGAAGTGAGATTGTCCATTAGAGCTGATGATAATCTGTCTAGAGCTTTATGATAATCTGCCAAAAAGAAAAAGGAAAAAGGAAATTTCTCTAATTTTAGCCATTCATCTCTTCACTTCTTCAAAGCATTATTTAAAACTTAACACTTCCATACATCTTCTGGATTAGCTTTAATTTAACAATTTTAATCACTCAAGTAATCTGCCTTATTCTATTCATGTAACTACAAGCAATAGCTGTCACTGCACCTGTATTTCCTCTGGTTGTTTCAGTTGTTTATTTAATTGCCTGGCCACCCAGACAAACTCTAAGCTTTTGAGAGGGCTACAGCTGACTACGCGTTTTGTTTCTTTAACAGAGACGTTCAACAAATAACTGTTGACTGAATGAATAAGTGAATAAAGGCTAAATGTACTATCTCTTTTTTTTTTTAACCTTATCATACGCTACTTCTTGGTGGTCTTCATCTACCTTCTTGGTAGATTCTAAATTTTTCTAAGAACAATAATCTTATTTCAGAACATAACAACAATATTTTGTAGTTCACAGAAATAAATACAGCTAGTTCATGATATGAAAATCTTAAAATAGCAGAGGTAAATAATATCAAGGAAATTAAAGAAGAGTTGGAGATGAAACTAGCAGGAATGAGCCAAGTATTCTTCAGGTAAGTATTCAGAAATGGGGTGAATGGGTCACATGGAGTTTCTATTTTTTATTTTAAAACACTAATTTAAAGAGATACATACATCCCCATTTTTACTGCAACTTAGAGTAGCCAAGCACTGGAAAAGTCCTTAGTGCCCATGAACAGACTAGATAAAAATATATACATATATAAGTATACATATATACAACTATATATATATTTATGTTTGTGTATTTACACACAATGGACTAAAAGAAAAGATGAAATCCTGGCATTTGTAACAACATGGATGAACCTAGGGGTTATTACGCTTAGTGAAATAAGTCAAATGGAGAAGGTCAAACATTGCATGATTTCACTCATATGTAGTATGCAAAGGAAACAAATGAACTAAATAAAACAAAAATAAACTTGGATTACAAGACCAATTAGCAGTAACCAGAAAGGAAGGTGAAGCAACGGGTAAGTCAGGTAAAAGGGGTCAAATGTCTGGGGAAGGACAGAATTGGATTTTTAGTGGTAAACTTAATGTAGTATATACACATATTGATTTTTAAGAATGTATACAGAAACTTCTAGCATGTTATAATGCAATGTTACTTCTTCAACATTAAATAAAAAGAGCCAAGTACATATAATCTTAGGATAAGAAATAATGAGCAGAAGTACACTTGTATATATTGCAAATATTATCCATCAGTAAGAAGCACTCTCAAATTAGCTATATGTTTGTGTCTGGTGAACACCATTTAGTTTATGGGCAGGCAAGCACGAAATGATAAATTGAAAAAAAAAAGTGATTTTTTTTTTTTGTTTGTTCAAACTACAGCTAAGGGTCCTGAGAACCTGCTATAATGATCTGTATCCATATTTAACTATAGACATAGTAATTGAGCAATCATCTTTAAATCGAGTATTTAACATTTGCCTATTTTCTTAAGTTAGATGCTGATGATAGGAATTGAGAATTTTTGTCCATGTTTTCATCTTGCAAACTACAGCTCAACAGATATTTGGTATTGGTTTTCATTTCTCCCAATTCAATAGTTTATGGCTTTCATTGTTTTGTTTGGAAATTCCTAAAACACTTCTATGACTTCTCGGTGCTCTAATATATCAAAAATGAGCAACAAATATTTCACTGTCAACAAAGAATGAGCTAATCTTTATTGTGAACTTACTACTTTCAGGCTCTGTTATCTTATTTTATCTTCACAACAACTTAATACTATTTTTATTCCTATTTTACAGAGGAAGAATCAAGGCATAGACATTAATATAACTTAAACAAGTTTATATAGCCAGTAAAAGGCAGCATCTGGATTCAAATCTATGCAGTCTGACACCAGAATTCATGTTCTTAAACACTATGCTAACCTAGTTTATATATCTGCTACATTAGGTTTACATAAAATGGATAAATTTTCTTAAAATCGGGCGGAAACAAAGCTATTATTGATACACATCACTACAACTACAGATAATGTGGCAAGACAGCTTGTGTTTAGTTTCTCTGAGAGGTGTTCTGCCCTCAGAGAGCTTACAATCCAATTAGGGAATCAGAACATACACCTAAAGTGTTTTACAATACACCGTGGGACGAGTGTAAATGAGTACACACAGGACTTACTATGAAAGTTGAGAGGAGGAAGTAATTTCTAAAGACTGGGCTTTAGAAAGCCTAAACTCAGAAAAAGGCATGATGAAAGAGATTTCAAAGGAGGGCTAGAACTGATAGGAGGAAGAAAAGAGCTAGTATTATAAGCAAGCAGAACCATCTGAGCAAAATTATGAAATACCAAGATGGAATTGTTGAAATGTTCCATGTATGGAAATAATAGATGATGAGGCTAGAAAGCTAAGGATCATTATGGGGGAGAAAACTGCATGTGATTAGTAAATTAGGGCTTATCCTCTAGACCTGCACTGTTAAACACAGCAGTCACTAGGTAGATGTGGCTACTGAGTAATCAGTATGTGGATAGTCCAAACTGAGATGAGTTATACAGGTAAAATACCAGTTTTTGAAGATTACTATGCAAAAGGAATGTAAAATAGTGTCTCATTTTTTTAATTGATTGCATTTAAAGTAATATATCATACTCTGGATATACTGGGCTAAATAAGACATAATATTAAAGTTAATTTTACTAGTTTCTTTTTACTTTTTTAAATGTGGCTACTGGGAAATACAAAATCATATCTGTAGTTTGCATTTGTGGCTGACATTACATTTGTATTGGACAATACTGCTCTAAAAAATGAAAAAAAAATAGAAGCAGAGCTCACGTAGAAGAGTTTTACAATGTTTAATCTGGTATAAACATACAGAAAAGTTTAGAATGTAAGTTAACCAATCTGGTTTTTCCGTAAGTCAATGGCAGGAAAGACAAAACAAAACAAAAAGTGAGTCAGAAGAGGGGCTGCTATAGCTTCAGAGATATTTAAGTTACGGAAAAACCAAACGACTTTGTTTGGATCCTGATTCAAACAACCATAAAAGGACGCTTTCGGGACAACTAGGGAAGTTGGATATTGGATACTGGATGACATTAACAAATTATTGATCCTTTAGGTGGAATGACATTACGGAGATTTTTAAAAGCTGAAAACTGAAATACTTAGAGATAAAATGCCAGAACTCTTGGAATTTGCTGGCAAGAAAAGAGTATCTCTTATTTTTCAAACACAAACACAAATGTAAAAAAACTGAATTGAGGAAACTGAGTTATTGCGACTAGTCTTTTCATAATTTAGTTTAAAAGAGAAAACACAAGAGCGTAATGGAATTGTAAATCAAAATAAAGTATTGTTGCTATAAAAACTGAAGTACCTGAGCATAACTACCCTGGAAATAACATGTAGCCTTGTTAAGAGCCCTGGTCTCCTGCTAGCCAATTAGAGCCACTGAGTTGCCTCACCTTGTTGAAGTAAAATTGAAGGAATAAATATGAAAGGACTTTGAAAAGATTTTGAAGTGCTAATTTAAAAAAAAAAAATTAGGTTGAACATCGTTTCCAGAAAAAAATTTCAAAAAGCGAAAAAAATTGCTTAGCCTAGGTTTCATTTCTCCTAATTTTCGAATGAGAACATTCTAAGAAAAGTGTAGGGACAAGAAAGGAACTAGGCCTCCTTATCGTTTTCGCGCCCACCCCCCAACATTCCCCCGTTCCTCCGGCCCCCACCTCCCCGCCCCCCGCCGTGGTACCCACAAACAAACACAAAAGAGATGGGGAGCGGCGCTGGGCGGGGGTAAACCAAGGAAGTTTGGGGGAAGGCGAAAGCAGCCCAAGGGGACAAAGATGCTAACTGAGGAGGCAGGGACGGGGAGTTAAAATGAGGCGAAGGGCGTCTTTTTCCACAGGTTGGGCACTTACGGCTAACAAACTCTCCAGAATCCGCGACTGGTTACCATAGCGACCGCATCGCGGAGGGAGGAGCGCCGCTTCCGATCGGTGCCGCAGCTTCTACGGCTCGGCTGGAAACCTGGTCACGTCCGGCGGAAGGAGAAGCCGGTGACGAGCCCGGGTCTAAGCGGGCTGGGCATGGGGGGCGCACACTCCTGTGAAGTTTGGTAAGTTTCAGGGCGCGTACGGACGGGGAAGGGTACTGTCCTTTGACAGGGCAGGAGAGCCAATCGGGACTGTAGTGGATTCCCATTTCGCCGTTTTGTGGCGCCCCTGCTGTCTCGTTCAGTTCACAGCTGAGGGAAGAGGTGCCTGGTGTCTGAGGCTCCTCATGGAGTCTCTTTCCCTGGAAGGCTGGAGTATCCTGGAGGGGGAAGGAGAAGGGATCTGTCTCTTGGCTGAGCCCCTGCAAAAAGCCAAGGGACTCCTCTCCGCCTTTCCTTGCTCTTTGGTAGTCTTCAAAGTAATATGGAACAGTTGAACTGGAAAATTTAAGAGGAAATGCCCTGATATTCATTTTAGTCCTTTGGTTTTTGCTTATTTAAAACATTCCTTTTGGGATCATGCTCAGCGAAATAAGCCAGAAAGAAAAAGAAAAATACCGGATGGTCTCACTCATAGCAGGAATCTAGAAAACTTAAATAAGGGACCAGGAAAATGAATAACTATAAGAAAGTGAAAATCAAAATCAACAAACAACTATGAACCAGAGACACTCTATGGGTGGTGGGGGGCGGGGAGGGGAGGGATTGGGGTCAAAATAAGGGGATTGCAATTGTATGGGGAATATAAAAATAAAATTTATTTAAAAAAAATAAAACATTCCTTTTGTAAACCTTTAGTAAGCTCTTCTAGTGTGTTTACTGAGTACGTGTCGTGTACAGCTTTTGCCAGATTATCAGAACTATCACTCGGTTTAATGATCGAATTCTATTTTGCGAGTGCTGTTGTATATATATTTTTTAAAGATTTATTTATTTATGCATGCAAGAGCTGGGGTACAGGCCAGAGATGCGGGAGGTGAGAGGAATGATTCACCAGAGACAGAGTGGGGAGCAGAACAGGCAGACTGACTGAAATACACTGCTGAGGGGAGCAGCGGGCGAGTCAGGAGCGGTCTGCCTCGCCATGTGTGTTGCTCCCTGGCTGGCCTGGGATCGAACTCGTGCTGCATAGGCTGTGGATTGCTTCATAGTCCTGTGCTTAACCCCTTGCGCCGCCATGGAGGCCCTTGTTGTATATCTTTTAAGATGTAAACGTATTTCGTGAAACATCTAATAGATTTTCCATTACTTGAATGTAATGTAAACTCTGTATGTAAACATTTGAAATTCTTTGGTATTTTAAATGAAAATATATATTTCATCAGATTTGCATTCTAATCATGATTTAAATAATAGTATAAAAAATTTAAAAAGCTGTCCTTATTTCTTAAAGACACGAAAACTGTAATTAATTGTCAACAATATTTTCTATTCAGCTAATCTGAAAAGGCCTGCCTCTTGTTCAATAGATGATGGCATTGAAGCAGACATCAATAAAGGATTGGTACAGCATTCTAGGGGCAGACCCATCTGCAACTGTGTCAGATCTGAAACAAAAGTATCAAAAACTCGTGTTAATGGTAAGTCTTTTCAAGTTTTAAATCATGGGGGATAATTTGTCTTTATATGTAACCAGAAATTTAGATTTTTATAAAATGAATATATGACATCAAAATGAATATATGAATCAAAGAATTAATTTGGTTGCTTGGGAGTTTCAGTAATGTAAAAAAGGTTGTTTTGAGATAGAATAACAGGGTGGTTTGAAACAGGAGATCTGAGTCATCCTGATTGAGTTAGACTCTTGTTCTATCACTGATAACTTGAACAAATGCCTTTTCCCTCTATGTACTTCAGAGAACATTAAATGAAATAATTAATGTAAAATGCTTAAAAATATGGCATACAGTAAACAGAATTGGCATGCAGTTGCCATTAGCTACATGAGACTGTCAAGCACTTGAATGTGGCTAGTCCAAATAGAGGTAAGCTGAAATGTAAAATATCCATTGTATTTCAAAGACTTAGTAAAAAAAAATGTAAAATCTAAAAAATTTTAATGCCCATTACATGTTGAAATGATAATATTTTGGATATATAAGTTATTTTGTGTTAAGCATTTTGGGGGAAAATGCATATTCTGCACCTACAATAAAATACAATATCCTAATATCATTTGATGCTTTTAACTTTTTTCTAACATGGCATATGAGGCTTACATTTATAAATCACATTATATTTCTGTTGAATAGTACCAGTTTATATACTGTTTTTCATCCAACTCCATTCTTTTGTGAAATGAATTACAGAGTAAAAGCCGTGAACTATTCTCACCACCCTCTTGGGGCCAGATACCATCCCTTGGCCATATGCCATTGTATTTACTGCTGTCTCTCCCTCTTCTGCTGTGTCCTTTCCCCTACCTCACACCTGATTAATTATTACTCATTGTTTCTTAATTGTAACCCCTGCCTCCCCTAAACCCTGGAATGTCCCCCTCCCCCAGTAGAAGTTCATTTAGCGTTAGGTCTGTAGGACAGGTATAGTATGACCATCAGGTGAGGTGCGTGAGGATATCTGGGATGTGATAGATGGTTGAAGGTTTCTTTGTTTTTTTTTTTTTCCTGCCTTTTAGATGAGAGAGACTTAAACTTGTTAAAATTTTATGGCAAGTGATCGAAAGAAAACTTGGGATTGAAGTTATAGGAGAGAGAATAATTAACAGAAGGCATCGAGGATAGGCTCTGAAGCATAGGTAGAGAGATTAGCTTTTTTATGAGAAGAACCTGTCTCCACTGGTGGCAGGAAGAAAGGATGACTGCAAGAGCTGGTTATTTGGTCACTTTGGTGGCAGGAAGTTGGTGCTCTCTCATTTGGTGGCTTATTGTTTTCTCTGTGAAGAAGACAGTTATCTGTTAAGAGAAGTTGAGAAAGGAAGAGGAATAGCAAATTACAGAAAAAGAATTTCAGCTTGTATTATACTGGGAAGGTTCTTTATAGGTAGCTATGTTATACTGATAGCAGTATGCAATCCTAACCAACAACTAGCCATACCAAAGGCAACCAGAGCTCTAAAGAGGTACCAAAAAAGCCTGACGTCTTGGCTTCCATTTGTCTGGGTTGCAGTGACTTTAGTTCCTTATTACTGAAGTTTGGTACAATAATTTTTATTCATAATTGTCACCATGAGTTAAATTATGTTCTGTGTATTTTGTTTCAGAAGGCATGGAAGTATGTAGTAGTAAGCACATAATTAGCAACACATGCATTATACTTCATAGTTTGTACCTCACAGTTTACAAATGCTTTCACATCTTATCTGATTTTTTCCTCTCAGCAGTCCCATAAGGTATGTAATGTTATCCCCTTGTTTGCAATTGAGAAAACCAAGACCTGGTTATAGCTAAGTGGTTTATCTGAAACACACAATTAGTAAGGCTTGGGCACATGTCCTCTAACTCTAGACTCTCCCCCATTTTGTCAAACTTATCGTAATTACCAGCCACAAGAGTTTACAGTCGTTTAAAAGTATAATTTTCAGTTTCCTGGATTTCCATGGAACACCTCAGTCATGTACAGTTAATGAACTATTACAGAATGTCAGATATAATTGCCACTCTGTTTTATCTTTGAAGGGATGTAGCTTATATATGGCTTAAGCAGTGAAACTTATTTTCCTTATTTTTTTGTATAAGTTTAGAGTTACGAATAAATTTGTCAGAAGAATTATAAGGGATAATCATAGTATTTATAATGTTTATCGCATTTATTTTTTTCTGGCTTTCCTATTTGAATTACCATATTTTTTCAATCTATGTTTTTCAACAATGTCACAAAACAATTGGAGAATAAAATTTCATTTGACAAATACCATTCTCAATCCAATTTTTGTAAAAAAGGCACATTTATAACATGTAGTTTCCAAGTTTGAATTTAACACCTCCTACATAATTAGTTGTTGGGATAAAATGTTGCTACTTCGTAGGCTTCTAAATTTACAAAACATGTTGATTTAGTAAATACTGTTTCCTTATTTCAGTTTTTTTGTAAATGTAGTGCTTATTCAAAGTCCTGATACTGAAAAAATTCTTATTGACTGGGATATTTCAAAATCCTTTAAAAATATGTACAAAAGTAAATATTAATGTATATATATAAATACTTACTGATGTAAAGTGAAAAATTATCCTGAAAAACATTTATTTCACATACCTTTAAGTCTGTTAACCTGATCATTTGCTATATAAAAAATAAAGGTAATTGAGTTAGCATTTCTCAGCAGCATTTTATTAATAAGGCGTTTTGCATGTTAGTAAAATTGCATTGTTCACTTTATGAATCAGTTTTGAAATTTTCCACAAATACAAGTTGGATAATAATCCATTGCCTAAAATGGTTAGGGGTCAAGAATGAGTAGTTATATTTTTCCCATATTTTTCTGCAGTTTTGCGTGTGAAAACTGTTTACTAAGGATTAAGTTCCCCCCTCCCCCAAGCTTTGTCAAATTGAAAAGTGGGGGTCTTTTCCCATTGATGCTGATAATGTTACAGGATACCTTTCAACTGGAAAAGAATTATTATGTTGGAAAATTATATGCTGCTGTTACAGTATGTTCTATAATCTTAAAGAAAATATATATAATTTGAGGCAGAAATGTACAGGATGTTCTTACTCTCAGTGTAGAAAGGGTATGGAATGCCACAGAACACTTTTGTGGGCATTCAGAGGGCCACTTTTGATGACAAGTGATTATAAATTGGCATTGAGTTAGCTATGAAATGCATTTTAGCATCTTTAAGAAGAAAGTAGAACGGGTACCTTTGCTATAATCAGAGGAAAATTATCACATCAAAAAAGGGAGTGAAGAACAATTCTTAAAACAGGTCATTTGTCTATATTACAAAAGCCAAATGATCTTGATTATAGGAAAGGTAGTAAGGCATTAAGAGAAAAGATCTGGAAAAGATCTGGAAGTATTGTAAGTAAAATCAGAAGGCTATATATACCTTGTCTTGTAGCGAACATTCTAATTTTTGTTACTGTGGTTAACTGTTTTGCTGTCATCCAAGTATCACAGAGTGCAAGATATTTAGCAATAAATTGCTTACATTTCATGGAGACTCTTACAAACTATCCTTTTCCATGATAAAATATACAAGGTAAGAATAAGACATTTTAAGTTTAATTATTTTAACATTTTAATTTAATACTTTCACTAAGCTATATATTAGTTTTAATACAGAACACTGATTCAGGCACCCTTCTAATCACTTTACATGTATTTACTCATTTAGCTCTGTGAGGTGAGTTGTCATTATTATCCCTAATATATAGATGAGGACACTGAGATTCAGAGATTAAGTAACATACTGGATAGTAGTGAGAAATTATGATGCACTCTATATATGCTCTGAAAACTGGTTAGAGTAGTCAAGAGTTACCTTGTCAGTGGCAGTAGTAATTGTACAGTGCAGTGCTTTTCATGAATAGGTATAATTATGCCTTACATATGTTTTCTTTAAGAAGTTAGAGGCCTGTCCTATTTCAGAAAAAAATACGTATTTTAACAAATGAATGAAAGATTTAACACAAAGAATTATTCTTAGCTTTAGAAATAATTGTTACCTAACATGTGATAATGTACCATCTAGAAAAACTGTGTTTCTCCAAATTGGGAAAAGAGTTTATCTCAAAAGGTGATTAGCTCAATTATATTTATTGTTGACTAAATTCATCATATTTTTGCTGTTTGTTTTCCCCTTACTAGGGAATATTAAGAAACAAAGCAAATAATAAACAAAATTAAAACAAATCCTTAAAATTTTTAAAAATGTTTTGTACAGGTGTTTGCAGTGACAGAATGTTTAATGATGGAGGGGACAGTGGGGGTCAGAACAAGGTAAAGGAAGATCATTGGTTGGTAGTGGATGGTGAGAACATTGTTGATGGATGTGGCAGGATATATACCATGGCCAAGGTGAGAAAATGTGTACCTGAAACCTTTCTAGTGTTGTAAACTAACCACCAAAAAATATTTTTAAGAAAAAAAAATGATAATTCCAGTTTAGGAGGGAAAAGTTTATCATGGAAAAAAAAGAAAGAAAGAAAAAGAAGTTTCTGTGGACTCAAAAAAAAAAAAAAGAAGGCACAAATCCTGAACTCCGAGAAATAGTGGGTAGATTGGTTGTTGCCAGGACCAAAGATTGGGACGGGTGAAGGTGAGGAAATGGGTGAAGGTGGTGAAAGAACAGACTTCCATTTCTAAGGTGAATGTGTTCTGGGGATCTAATGTACAGCATGGTGGCTCTTGTTCACAACAGTGTATTGTATACTTGAAAATTTTTGAGGGTAGACCTTAAAAGTTTTCATCATAGGGCCTCCCTGGTGGCGCAGGGGTTAAAGACACAGCGCTATCAAGCTATCACCAGCCACTGCAACATGAGTTTGATCCCTGGCCAGGGAGCCAACCCACCTTTCCTGTCTCTTCCACTGCTCCCCTCAGTAGATCCGCCTGTTCTGCTCCCCACTCTGTCTCTGGTGAATCCTCTCACCCCCCCACACACACACCTCTGGCCTACGC